CAGCACTGGCTCTCACGAGGGCTTCGTCAGATAGGGTGGCCAGTATCTGGCCATTACGGTCAAACACTGGAGTTCAACGCAGGGAATTCTGTGCACGTTTTTCCACATTGGATAGTTCGAGTTAAGCTGCAAGACTGGACGTTTACGGAGAGTAGGCAGACCAGCGGCAGTCAACGAGCATTTCCATGGAATGAGCCTGGGAGATGCACTACATGGCGAGTAGTCTGTGTTTGTCAGGCAAATTTGAAACCTCCAACATTAATTTGTTACACAATGATCAACAGTCACACAAGAAAAGAAGATAGAACACGGACTCAGAGAGAACGTGTATTCAGTACAATTCCAAAAATTACAATGCACTGGCCAAGCCCTTGCAAACAATAAGTTTTTTATCTTCGCTAGTGTCAAATCTCAACAACGGTTGTTCCTTTTGCATTGGGGAACTGATCCACAGAGATTTTCCTGAAAGAGAAAGAAAAGCACATTGTGTAGTGTTTTGTTTACACAAGTTTTCATTCTGTTGCAATATAAGTGATACAGTGTACATTTCGAAAGATTTTTCTTCCCTTCTTCATATCGTCAGTTTATCTATCTCTTATTATCTGGTATGCGATGTGTAGCGTGAAAAAAACCCAAGTTTCGAAGTCGTGTGATTATAATTGACAGGATTACGAACAATAATAAATTTTGTTCGAAACATCATCCAGTAGATAATACTGTTCCACTGTGTGATACATCTAATAAACAAACTAATATGGAATTACTTACCACCACGGTACCCGAGCCTTGCCTTACTGATGTCTTCACTTCAAAGGGTACGCTGAGCTTTCAATCGTGCACTGCTTGACATAAGGTTGACGAGGATTCGGGGAGCTACCTGGCGCTGAAGCAATTTCTAACTTCATGGTCAACGCTGTCGAAGATCTTTTCATAGCCATTAAAGTTAAAATAAACAATTGGCTGTAATTCTGTGCTCTGTTCGGAGATGGTGGGTAGTGTTGGAATTCGGTCCATATATTATTTGCTTTCCCTGAATTCAGCTTGTTCGCGAATCGGTCTTGTTTACACCGCATCGTTCACTCTCTTCAGGATGATGCGACTCAAATATTTTTCTTGGAGGACATGATGAAATCTAGGGAATATTCAAGTATTGATTTGTAGGGATTTGACTGATTGGTTATAGGATTTCATCATGAGGTGACATTGGTTGGAGAACCATTTGAAAACCTGGGAGTACTGTACAGCGGTTTAGTCCTAGTTTGGGAGTCCTCATCAGATCAGTAGCTACCTGGGTCTTAGTGGGAAGTCGTGGCCAGTAGGGTGCAGCAGGTTGAGTTTGAAGACAAATACGCGCCGAAGACATTGGCTAGCGGTTGCGCTATCTCGTGAATTGGCAGGAGTTAGAATTCATGGGCCATTGGATTGGTTCCCAGTGGCTTAATGGTCTACGAGATCGCTCGCCTTGTAACCAGAAGGCCCCAGGTTTGAACCCCGGTGGGTGCGTACTGATGAAGAATCCCAAACTAGGACGAAACAGCCGTCCAGTACTCCTAGGTCTTCCAATGATTGTCTGACTGATGTCAGCTCATGATGAAATCCTGTAACAAATCCAGGGAATTTTGTGTTTAATAAACACTACTGATTGTATCCATTCATAGCTGAGTGTCTTGAACATTTTAACCGTAAAATTGAATACATTACTTAGTACTTTAAGCCACTTAGTGCCTTTTATTAGCGTTTACCACATCCTTGAAAGCATTAAGTGGATAATGGACATGTTTTCTTAGAGATAGAACCACCATGATTCTGACTCACTAGGCTCTTTTCTTAGTGTCTTCAAAATATCAACCATTTCACTTAAACAGCGTCTAATTTTTATAATTCAGATCAATATTTATTCGATAGAAATATAATATTAATTGTTCACTCTCATCTGTCCTCAGTAGTGACTTCCTTTTCCTACCAACGGGCTATCTAATATAACATATGGGACTCACGCTAACGAAACGCATTCCAAATATTTAGTCTGTATGGTTGATGAAGAATCGATACTAGTTGGAGAGCCGTTAAAAACTGTCCTAATTTGGAACTCATCACGCAGCAAGCACCCATGACTTCACCAGGGACAAAAGCCAGGACCTTCATGTTATAATGCAAGCCCGTAGACCATTAAGTCACTGGAGATGGACTCCACAGCTCACTGACTTTAACTTCTGCCAATTCGCGACGTATAGCTCAACAGCCGGTGAATGTCATCGGAGAATATTTGTCCTCATAACAGACTTGGTGGTTTCACTGGTCGCGAGTAGTTCAGTAACCTTATAAGCCAGTGAGAATTCTTTCTTTGTCTTCTCTCTCCTCCCTCACTTTCTAATTTGCAATGTATGTAGAGTAACAACGACTTGGACGGTTCACTTGGTTGTCTAAAAATCTCTAATTTATTTCATTTGCTCCCAGTTTCACTTTATTATTCAAAGTATTTTGTTCTCATTCTTCAATAACCATTGTAATTTCAGCTGGTCTGAGGCTGACGAGAGCCTGTGAAATAAGATGAAACTGTTTCTATAGAAATTTATTGAGAAAAGCACGTATATGATGTTAGCTAAATCTATGTTAATAGAATTTAAGCCAAGACACAATGATGCAAATAAAATGTCTAATCCAATGGGGATTGCCTCGGTGCAAAAACATAACGACTAACAACAATTGAAGTTGAGCACTGATTCATAATTTTTTTGATCGACAAACTGACGCATATCTTTATTATTATCACGAATAATACTGTTCGTTCTTTGTGTTCCAAGTAAAGCACATAGCACCAGACGCACATCTCCATTGCATTAGGTCCTCTGTCATCTCTTTCAGCTAACTACAAAACTGCCCACAAGCTCTCATTTCCTCCGAAGATGATTTTCTACATGCCATACAAGAATTCCCAGCTTGTTGTTTCCCTCATAGGGTCCACCTCAAAGTCAGGAGTGTGATCACACTTGAAAACTTCCCCAAAGTATGATATACCCAACCCCATTTCTTTCTGCATATTTAGACAAAGCAATAATTATTATTAGTGTTTCCTTTAATTCCTAGAGGATAATAGGGCTTCAGCCGTGCGTCTCCATTGCGTTCGGTTCTCCGCTAGAGTTTTCATCTGGCTATAAGAAGATATAAGCAATAAGAAGACGTAATTTGTCTCAATCGTGTAATGTATTTACGAAACACATTTCGAGCAATCTGATCACACACGGACTTGTCACAGGAATATATATGAAATCAATAAAGAGTTAAGAGGTGAGGAAATAGACTTAGGTCAAGTTAATCGACATATTGAAGGTCACTAAACCGAATAACAGAGGTAGTAGTACATCTACCCTGGCTGCCAGTATCATGGCATAGTGGTTAGGACTCTCGCCGACCATGCACATGGTCCGGGGTGCGACCGCCTGCCGGCGCACACCCGATATCTGTGGTCGGCCTGCAATATTTAGGTTACCGATATCCATGCTGAAAATTCCATACCTGTACCTAAAACTACGGTGTGGCATCAAGCTGTAATCAAAATAAATAAATAATAAAAAAAACAAAGTTTACCAGGGAAGCTTTACTGTGATGACGAGTTGTTTTTGAACGCATAAAGGCGATTTAAAATTTCTAATTGCTAGGGCTTCCACAAACTTTAGGATACACCCAAACACTTTTAATAGAAAGATTTAAAAGATGTGTTAGCATCATTTTTATGTCCTGTCTCTATAATATGCTTCGCAGTAGAGGAGCTAGGTCTCCTGTTCTCACCATTAATGGGTTCTGAAGATTCTATTTGTTTCTGGAGCCATTTACAAATATGCTCTGAAGCCCTTACTTGCAGAGATCGATGAGTTTTTCCTGTGTATGAGACAGGACATAAAAATGACGTTAACAGATCTTTTAAACCTATCTATTAAACGTGTTTGGGGCGTATCCTAAAGTTTGTGGAAGCTCTAGCAATTAGAAATTTTAAACCACCTTTATGCGTTCAAAAACAATTCATCATCACACTAAAGCTTCCCTGGTAAACTTTGTTTTGATACAGACAGCCAGGGTAGATGTACTGTTACCTCTGTTATTTGGTTTAGTGATCTTCATTGTTATTTTGACCTTCAATATGTCGTTTTAACTTGACCTAAATCTATTTTCTCACCTCTTACCTCTTTGTTAACTTCATATATATATATTCCTATGACAAGTCCGTGGAGTGTGATCAGATTGTTCGAAATGTGTTTCGCAAATACATTACACGATTCAGACAAATTACGTCTTCTTATTGCTTTGTCTAAATTCATAAAGGGAACTAACTGTTTTAAATTCTGCAGATTTGTTAAGTCCTGTAGAATAGTGGTTAGTCGACGGGTTCCCGTAGTAATCAGAAGGTTCTGACTTTGACCAGTGGTAGGCCAATGGTCGCGTACTAAAGGAAACTCTCAAACTGAAATGAAACAGCTGTTCAATACCTTCTAGTTGAAACGCCTCCTAGTTCGCTAGCCGATCCTAAGCCGAGAAAAAATGCAGAAGACAGGTAGTTGGGCCGGGCATCTGACGCCATAAAAAGTCCCCTTAGCCACTGAAATTTCAAGACATACATAAAGTATTCTTATTCATATTTGGGATCGGGAAGACTCCTCATTTCGGGAATGGATGATGATAGACGGTGAAAGCCAATTTGGCTATGAATGGAAAAGTGAGCATTGAGGCTTCAGTCTATACACATTTAAGATACCGTATTATTTAGGTGGAAAGACGAATGAATATGCAGTTGAACTATCTTAGTCACTGGCTTGTAACCTCTAAGAATTCAATATTAAGGGAAATGATTGAAATCTCTTATCCCATGTCCTAAAGGCAAACTGCTGTGTGCAAATGCAATACAATAAACAATTTGCGTTAATTAGTGTATATTTCATTTATTAATTATAAAAACAGAAATTATGCAAAATGTCCGATATAATTTCTTAAAATGAAGACATCACTTAAATAATCATCATCTTGCAATCCACCTGAAGAAAAGAATAAAAAACAGTGAATTAAAATTATTTCTAGTTCCATGTCAGTGTAGCATTATCTCAAACAGGCAAGTATCTCAACAGGAACTAACACAAATCAATCTAACTACTGTTTACTATATTCCACTGTCAATAAGTCAGTCTACCTTCAATTTTGATTCCACAGCTTTAAAATTTAAACAGACCGATAGTATCGTATATCTTATCGCAAACTGAATACAGTTCATAGCCTAGTACAAAAGCCTATGATTCGCTTTTACCTATTTGCAGTGCAATTTTGATAAGGTCTGGCTGGCTTTTTTAATTTTCTTTTTTTGTATGTGCAGCTGTGGTTTATCAATCTTTTGAATAGGTTATCGTAAGCGAATACTGACTGCGTTAGTGTTTTTTTATTCCTTCACGTTCCCAGTGGAACTTAGGGCTTCAAACTAGAGGCTTGAAGTTTCGGTAGCAGTGGTGGGATGGGGGTTGCTAGCCTTATTCCCAACCTTTCCTCTCTACCAGCTTTATTTCTGGCTTAGCGAGGTAAAGGAGTGCGTCCGCCGGGGAACTAATCCCGGTCGATGTGCATGGTCGTCGAGCGTCCTAAGACTGTGTTAATGTGAATACAAATACTGCAGGATGTTTCAAAGTCATGGAACGTAATTATCTGTCCACAGCTCTGCAGACTTAGTTCAGCAACTAAGTCAATCACTGTTCCACGATAGGTGTTCTCTTCTTCAGTGGTTACGACACTTAATTGAATTCTAGATTTTCCCGTCGATTGATTGGACATCCACCAATTGAATACTAATTAAATGCCTAGACGTCGTCGAAGCATCTGCACAAGAAGCCGACATGTCAACCTGAGACCGAGCACTTCGGTCCAATCAGTCGACGGGAAAATCTAAAATTCAATTGAAATTAATATGACCCGTTGCACAAGAGGTGGCTCCCCTGGCCCAAGTGGTCTAGTGGATAACGGTTTGGCGTTTGAAACTATGGTCACTGGGTTTGACCCTCGGTGGGAGCATCATCACTCACTGAGAAATGCAGGCACATCCAGATGACGAGTTCCAAATAGGACGAAATGCGCATCCTGGATTCCACTGCTAGTCAACATCCACCAATTAAGTTACGACATTTACTTACAAATGGGATTTGCTATACTGTTTGTTAAATCCTGACCCGTTTCTTAGTCTTTCAGCTCAGTGAACAGATCACAGGAACAGTAGAATCTCCGATACTATTTCGAATCATATCAGTATTCGAATTCCCCCCCCTCACCAGTATGGAACAAAATTTCTTTATAATGGACTAGTTCACCACTCCAGTTTTACCTCTTAACAGAAAGACATATTTCAGAAAGCGTAAAACAGTTTATTAGATGACATTACAGTCACAATGTATTCGTATACACAAACCGTTTTGAAGAACTGGCCAGTGTATTCTTCTAATTCCTAGTGAATTGATTTTACAACTGACAAAATTTTGTCTGTTCCTAGAATTAGGAAGACATATAAGATTTGATTATGAACAGTGAATTGTGCTAAAAACGTTATTCAGTTAATGATCAAGTAAATATGTCTAATATGGATATCTACTGCCATGCAGAAGTTATTCTGATATCTCATATAAACTAAGCAAAAACACTTAGTATGCGTAAACGGCTCTCAATGTCTTTATGCTACTTTGGTTAATTAACATTCAGTGAACTGGAACAGATTTCCTGCGTATAGTTCTAGGAACCACACTTAGCGTGTTGCAACAGTCTATGATACTACTCAGTTTTCCAGGTTGAAGAGGGGTGTGTGAGCGCAAGATCAGAATCCGAGACTCACTGGATGAAAGTTAAATGCTTAAACTAATGAGTAACATCTCCAGAAGCTGTACTTTTGTGGAGTGTATTTCAGAGGACAGTCAGTGTTTCTTTTAACATGTTGGTACAGTACATAAAGGTCAGTATCTATAAGAAAAGCTTCAAACAATCTCATTTTTATCTATTTAGGATACCTCTATCCACCCTCTTATAACGTTTTTAAACAATAATTTCAGTTATACCTGTATCTTAGAGAAAATGGAACATCAGGACAATATTCTCAACTCATTATCAACAATTATGAACTGGGTAAAAACTGGGTGCGATTTGATTTAGGGAATACAGGAATTTCATGCAGTCCAGAATCATAAAGAAGTTAATACTGGAAATCCAGCCTACACGAACTATTCGTGCCTTCCTTTCAGCAGTATTTCCATCTGACTTCTCCGTCTTTATTTTCATCTTTATGCACTGTTGTCCAATTTTCTTTCTCCTTTCCTTTTGTCTGAAACTGCATCAGTAGTTTATGTCTTCCCAACATTTGTTAGAGGCATCACACTTTATTCTACTTACAATTTCTTATCAGTAGCTTCCATGACAGGAAGAAAAATTTAGTTCTACGATAAAGGTAACATGACTTGTCTCTGTCAATTCACTAGACACTTTTCAAATAATTTTTTCCCACACAGAGATAAGTTAGCATTCATCATCTACTTATTATTCCAAATGAAATCTGGAGTAGTTAACCGATTCGATGTGAGAAATAGTTTGAATTTCCAGTGTTCAGAGAGCGGTCAGTCTAAAAGGATTTAATGAATTCACAAAATAACTTATAATATACATACAAAATATATTTAAAAAAACTTACTCTAAATTGAGTCATCATCGTAAGCGAAACTATTAATATTAGAGCTGTCATAATTATCCTCAGGGTTAGTCATATCTTCGTCGATTTCATGTTCAGTGCCAGAAGTCTCTCCGTTGTCATCAATGTAGTCATTCATCCCACCTTGATTGTCAGTATTTTCTGAAGACTCAGAGTCGTAATATGCAGCATTTTCATGATCATAGTTTCCATAATCATAGTGATTGAAACTATCCCAATGGTCATGGTAATTAGCGTCGTATGGACTGTGTGTATCATATTCATCTACATCGTCGTCATCATAAAATGAATCTGAAATTTTAAAAAAAGTTTGAGAATAATGAATCACTTGAATTCCGTATCTTTTCATTTCGTTTGCGATCTGGGCAGCTTTGCCAATCTCGTACAGACTTTTTCTTTTGGCGCAAGGAGATTCATCGTGCTTCATCCAGAGGTGCTTTGGCAACCACTTCGCTACTACGATGTGCCGCCAACAATTATACATCTCATACAACAGTTGTACGACAATGCTGCATGCCAAGTATTCCACAACGGGAAACTTACGGAATCCTTCGAAGTGAGGACAGGAGTAAGACAAGCTGGCTGCCTACTATCGCCAATGATTTTCCCGATTGCAGTAGACTGGATAATGCGACAGACAGCAGGCACTGAGGAAACAGGCATAAAATGGACTCACACAAAAAAGAACTTGGAGGATCTGCACTTCGCCGATGATATATGTCTGATTTCCTACAAACTGGAAGATATGCAAGCAAAAAGCAACAAGTTGGCAGAAGAAGCATTTAGAGAAGATGGGACTTCAGGTGAACATAGAGAAAACAGGGGTGATGAAGATTCCTTGCCAACACCAACAGCAAAAACAACAGACAACAATCAGCCAGGATAATGGGGAAAATTTGAAAGAAGCAGCCTCCTTTACCTACCTACCTACCTACCTACCGGGAAAGCATCGTTTCAACTACAGGCAGAGGGAACTGGTGAGGATATCAAAGCAGAGAGGATTGGGATAGCAAGGCAAGCTTTCATTTCTCTCAAGTCTGTGTGGAGGTCAACAACACTCAGCATCAAAAGTAAGATCCGGATTTTCAACTCCAATGTGAAATCAGTGCTACTATTCGGGTCATAGACTTGGCGCGTCATAAAGAGCATCTCAAACAAACTACAGACCTTCATTAAAAGTTGTCTTCGCTCAATACTCAAGATCAGACGGCCGGCCAGAAAAGATCAGCAACAGGGTGGGATCTCTGGCAATTAGCGAACCAACCAGGAACCGATTGTGAAACAAATATGCAGGAAGAAATGGAGATGGATTGGCTGGCCATACTCTGAGGAAACAAACCATCAAGTGACATCACTAGACAAGCCATTGCTCGGGTGGAACCCGAAAGGGAAGCGGCGAGTTGGTCGTCAGTGCAAGGGTGACTTGGACGAGGTCATGTGAATAGGAGATGAAAACGTGTGGGCAGACTTGGAGCTAGGTGAAGACTCTAGCAGAGAACCGAACGAAATGGAGACGCACGGCTGAAGCCCTATGTTCCTCTAGGAATTAAAGGAAACAATAAGAATAATAATGAATCACTTATAGATTCAACGGGTTTTTGTCTTTCATTCTTATACACACTCTAAGTGCTCTTATTATTATTTTAATTCCACCAACCTGACCATTGGATTCCAGGATGCCCTGACAAATTTTCAGTGGTAGAAACAAGTGAATAAACAGATCACTGAGACTGGGTGATTTTTTTCCCCAAGACAGAAACCCTCAAAGTAATGTTTTCCTTGCCTCTAGAAACCGTGTATATCCAGGCATTACAAGCACTGCTGAAGATGACATATTATATTTGTCAAATTGTAATGAAAAACCTTTTGAAATTTATCACAATTTTAGGAATAAAAAAACAGTGAAATATTCAACCAGTGAAACAAAACACATAGTTCGACGAATTCATTTCGTTTAGCTGTGCAGTTGTATACGAATGTGACTGTACGGCTAAAGAAGAATAATTCTCTGAAAAGAACCTCTTCGCTGAGCTTCGTGTTTTGTTTTCATTAACGAATGGATGGGCGTTACTCATGAGTTAGTTCATGACTTCATTTGATGAACCAGTGCCGTATAGCTTCAAGTGATTTTTCGTGAACAGTTTATTTCTCTAGATCATATCATGGTATTCATACAACTTTCTAACTTTTTCCCATAATATTTGACTCCTTACTGTTTTCCTTCTGGAGAGTTTCTTATTTTCCCAAGACTGGTATCGGCTTATTTCTATTACGAGCGCGAAGTGATGAAATTAATCGGTGTTCAATCTCTTTCTCTACCCTACCTCTTACTTGAGTACTTCTTATCTAGAGAAAGACAGCCAGTGCTATGTATTCTCTAGCACACAAAATACTGACACAGAATAAAAGTAATGAAAAGTAATATAGTTGGTTTTCAGATAAATACTCAGTATCATTTTCATTATGGTGAGCTGATTTTTCATTTTTTTTTAAATTAAGAGTAATTCAGCCAGTATGAACTTCTAAACTTATGAAACAGTGTCTGTTATGATTTCTCAAAGGACTGGAAACGAACCAGGACAATATGATTTATACATACAATGCTCAAAATTATATTATAGACACTAAACATTTATCATGCAGGTTTGTACATCCAATATTATAGATGGCAGTGTAATTCAAATTCTGTCGATGAAATTCTCAAAGTTACTGAAATTTACACATAGGAATGTAAAGAATAATTATCTGAGGTTATTTTTTTTCTCTCTAATTAATATAAGATAGTAGAGACAGTCGGCCTAGTAGATGACTGAATTCCACAAACTCCTTCTTAATATTCAAATTTTCTTTCATTTATTTATTTATTTATTATTTTATTATAGCTTGATTCCGCACAGTATTTTGGTACAAGTATGAAATTTTCAGCATGTGATATCGATAGCCCAAATTTAGCAGGCTGACCATAGATATCAGGTGTGCGTCGGCGGGGGTCGAACCTCGGACCATGTAAATGGTCGACGAGAGGCCTAACCTCTGTGCCACCGACTGATTGTAGATGTCTATTAAAAATTTAAAAGACTGGCTGGTGAACAGAAGACAGTCTTCCCGGTAAATTTATCATCAAGTCCTACATTTATATGACAGTAATAATTAAAGAATTACTGTTAGCAGCAACACTAATTTTTTAAATTACACTGATTCAATAGTGTCGATAGATGATTACATTTCAAAAGCATCAGTAAGATAGAGAGAGAGGCAGATAATATGCACTAATAGAACACTAAACTGATTGAATATCAGATAAATTAAGGAAAGTAACACAGAATCTATGAATTTGAAGTTCTCCACAGCTGACCAGGGTAGCAGTAGTCACTGGACCTGCTTCTTTTGCACACAGAGCTCCGGTTGATCTCAATGAATTGCAGTGGCCTCTGCTGTCTGGAATCATCTGCATCTGGAGGCCTTCGATAATTTATTCAATAATGGAGGGATGATAGAAAATGATTTTGCAATGTTAACTTTGTGGTCTGTTTACACAAAGTTCCCCAATACAGAACTGTTAAGCGTTTTAATTCACCTTTATTGACCACACTGGTAGGTGTTCCCGACCACGAAAAATTAAGTCATTGGAGCAGTAGCCAATATGACTGGCTCCACAGGATCAGTCGAACTGACATATAAAATAAGAGGTGGCTAGCCTAGATACTTCATCTCTCACTTTCCGAATCACAACCGGTTGTGTGAAAAATATAAGCTGCAGCTTGCCAGCATTAAACATTGTTTCAATCGATTTTCTAGGCTTGTTGGTTGTTATTTGACTTGGTATATCACCTTTGAATGGTGGTCATATATAAATATATATATAGACTTCTTAACAGATAAAGTATTCTCTGAATTGAAATATTCAACTGGCTGTAGGCCTATTGACAAACTTTCATTTCCTCATCACATGATATTCTGGATGTTGCGCTGGGACGCCCAACTCGACGCTTCCCATCCACCTTCTACTCGAGGATCTGGAGTATCATGTTACCTGATGGTCTCTTCAGAATATATTTGTTCCATCTCCCTTTCATGCTGCACATTTCTGGGATAACAGGTTCATGGCCGGCTATCTGTCTGCCGGAGTTTCTTGTTGCTCATCCCTTCCGTCGGTGCGTTGGTAGCATAGCGGTTAGGACGCTTGCCAACCATGCACATGGACCGGGGTTCGATCCCCGGCTGTCGCACTCCTTTACCTCGCTAAGCCAGAAATAATACTTGTGAAGAGGAAAGGATGGGCATGTGGCTAGAAACCCCATCCCGTTAAATAAACACTGCTACCGAAACTTCAAGCCGCCAGCTTGAAGCCCTATGTTCCACTGGGGAACGTGAAGAAAAAAATCCCTTCCGACAATAAAATCCCCAGTATCGAGGAAACAAAGGCATCTGTTGATGAAGGTACACGGCAGCCTGTTGCAAACTTTTTTCGGTTACACTGGCGCCAAGTGTCAGAAGCTTATAGAAGCAATGACTAAAAGTTAATGTCTGCAATTCGGATTTACTTCTTTTTGCTAAGACATAAAATAATTACTCTGACGAAGATAAGAAGATATCAGATAAGCAATTCGGTTTTATAAAATTCCCAAACTAGTCTTTAATAATAATAATCACTTTATTCCACAACAATAACAATTTACAGCATGGAATTTTCAGCGTTATGGGTGTAAGTAAAGACATCAGGAACTTCGACAAGGCTGGAACATCCCATCTTTCAGTATTTGTGTTACCCAGTTTGAAGTGAATTTCTGAAGGAACTTACCTCTGAAGCACACTGCATTATAAATGTAAAAATCTATTTTATTTCCATGAATCGCTTATCAGATGAAATAGATATCTGACAGCTGTCATGTTAAAGTTTGACAATATCTAGTAACTTAGACACTCCTCACTCTGTAAGAATAGCAGAACAAGATGACAGTTTAAAAATCTAATGTGACAGCGTGGAGGGAGAGATTTTAACAGAAGCTTTATTTATTGAATCAACTGAATTTGCGTGTGATAGAAATGACTCAACACTTGCTCACTCGGACATTTGGAAAATCGTGGGACCCCTACGGTGAATACTAAGGAATAAAGAAAACTTTGAAACGAGAGTTTCGAAGTTGTTCAGATATACTTGGTATGATTATCAACAATATTAAATTTTGATGGAAAAGTCATCCAGTAAATAACACCGTTTCCCTGTGTGATATACCTAATAAACAAATTAATATGGGATGTGGTCTTTTTGAGTGATAAAACTGAGCTTTATAAAATGTAAGAAATACTTCTAAAGCAATATTCGTTTTCACCAACTTCAGACTATTTCATAAAAATAATATTTGTAACTACAAGTTAATAAATAAGAACAAATCTACACAATGGAATAGTATTATCTACTGGATGATGTTTCGAACAAAATTTATTATTGTTCATAATCATTTCATCAATTGTAATCACACGACTTCGAAACTTGAGTTTTATAGTTTTCTTTGTTCTCTCCTATTTGTCGTAGGGGTAGTAGAATTTTCCAGATATCTGGGACAGGTGTTGAATCATTCCTATTACACGTATTTGCAGTTGATTCGATAAACAAAGCTTCTGTTGTCAATCTCCCCCTCCATCCACCCTGTGACATTATATTTTAAAACTGTCATCTTATCCCATCCTGTTGTATGCTTGTATGTAATTGCATGTAAGCAGTACCACACCTGAATTATTCTCCAGCTTTCCTTTCTGATTAATGTCAACTAATCCAGATTTCACCAGATTTTTATGCTCGGCTATTCTGACTGCATCTGTTCTACTACTTTGACCTGACAATCATTGCAGCCAGGGTATTAGATAAACGAGACTGTTTTGTTTTAAAGGTTCCACAGGATCCTTTAACCGACAAAGCTTGCTTCTAATTGAGTTTGTGGGTTTGAATGCCAAACACTTTAATTCCTGCCAGAACTGTTAAGAATTCTATACCGTAAGCTTTTCGAGGTTCCTTCTTTATACTGAAGTACTATTGGTGATTTAGATTCCTTATTGTCGGAGTTGTCATTATCCTGTGCACGTTTGACATGCATGTCGTCATTAATGTTATCAGTATTATTATCACTATCACCATTATTACTTATTTTATTTTTACATTACCCTACATACTTTCTGACTGATTTATCAGAGTAATTATTAAGTTTCAAAGCTTCTCTTATATGCCTCACTTCCTGTCTCAGATAAGAAATCTGGATAAAGTTTAGCTATAGCACTACATGCAATTACATACAAGCATACAACAGGATGGGATAAGATGACAGTTTTAAAATATAATGTCACAGGGTGGATGGAGGGGGAGATTGATAACAGAAGCTTTGTTTATCGAATCAACTGCAAATACGTGTAATAGGAATGATTCAACACCTGTCCCAGATATCTGGAAAATTCTACTACCCCTACGACAAATAGGAGAGAACAAAGAAAACTATAAAACTCAAGTTTCGAAGTCGTGTGATTATAATTGATGAAATGATTATGAACAATAATAAATTTTGTTCGAAACATCATCCAGTAGATAATACTATTCCATTGTGTGATACATCTAATAAAAAAAACTAATATGGAATTACTAACTACCACAGTGCCCAAGTTTTACACATATATTAAGAACAAATCTAAACCAAGGAAGTAAATATTTATTTGAGAACTATCTAACAAGACAGTGCATGAGGACTTAAATATTACTCACAGGAATTTCCCTTTATAAATTTCAACAAAGATAATGCTAACATTGGTGGGGAGTAACATGCATTCAAAGAGAATACATTATGGAATTTCAGCTGCTCTGGTAACGCCCATCTAAACAACTCCTTGTCTTCTGATTTCATTACCCTGTGCTCTCTTCCCTCCCCATATTTTGCTTGACTTTCATATTAGACTTAATTTTAGATCTTTGCCATTCGACTCACTACATTACATCATCATCTCTTCATCCAACTTCGTACACACCGGGATTTTGATTTTTCGACTTTATCAGTGCTAGTCACTGCGTTTCATTATCTTCAGTTAAGCAGCTATCACTGACTAATCAACATCCTGACGACAAAACTTTCCAGTTTTTTAAGAAAAGCTTATAAAATGCATATGTATACCAATAATGATTTCATTTTTCATCCTTATGCTGCGTTTCCCTATGACTTTCGTATACCAGTCATTACTGTAGGGCTGATTCACGATAAATAGAACGTGTATTAAAATTGTATTACAACTTGTTTCATCATATATTTTAATTTATACATGACTGACGAGGACCGACGAAATAACATGGATCCACATTATTCTGCACCAATGTTTTTTCTGCCTCTGATGCAATTAAATATTTCCATGAGTGCCATGTAATCATTGGGGACTGAAGATTATTAACTCCATTATGGATAAGATTTTATTTTGATAAATCACACAGTGTTGTACAGCAGTATTAACTGATGACGTTTCGAGCACACACTATTGCTCATAATCATATCAAGTTACTCACACACCTTTTTTCCTTCATTTATATCCATAATGGAGTTATGCTCTACCACAATGCCCAAGTTTTATACTTATATCAACTGAAGATTATTCTTGGTAACAACTATTCAATAAATGATCTAACAAAATGATTGAGGTGAATGAATGACGACCAAATAAGTCCAAATTGGCGAGTCATATAGGAGTAGGTAAAATCTGCTCAAATGACAGAAACGGATGTCTAGCACTCTATTTTACCTTCCTCCAGCCAACAGGATAATAGACAAACAGGTGCGTATCATTCCTTTCTGTAGATTCCAGTGTGAAGACTTAATTTCCCCATACTCGCGCTATGTTACACATTTCGGTAGTAATTTCCATGCACCTGTTTGGATAATGGTAGTTTTAATTTCCACTTGTGACCATTTTTCTTTGCTAACCTTGTTGATAAGTAGTCTGCAGTGTAATACTCATAGATGCATAATAAAACTGAATCTTGAAAGGTGACCTGCCTAATTTATAACTGGTCAACAGGATTTCTCTGCATTCCATTTAGTGGGTGAATACATAAATCGAGATTGTTACATAACCAGTGATATAGTGATAACATGATTATTAAAGTACAATTAATAAATGTATACGGATGAAACCTACATGTATGTCCATAAGTTAATGAAATTGACACTGTGAAAAAGAGGAGGGCATTTCTAACCGGTGAAGAAATCATTCTTCAGTGATCAGTGAAAGCGATGAGGTGATAAGACACTAACAAATGTAATGATGCACAAAATTTACATATATATATTAGGAAAATGGGAATTCGCATTTATATACCAAACTGATTTCGCCTACCAGTAGTTTGATTAGTTGAAAAGAACTCACCGCCCATGGCTAGGTTATTTGCAATCAGAGTAAACTGACTGGTCAATTTTGCAATGTTCAGTAAAAGTACAAAACCATACTTCTATCATTATTCAGCGAACAACAAAAACACTGCTAACTACAAAGCGTAATAGTAACAGTACATATATCTTTCTTTTTTTTTAAATACACTTTGAATGACGGGATAATTACTATGTAGGAAAAGCCGTTAAATATTTAGTTGAATATTATTAGACTGGTATAGTAATCCGGATGTGAAGCAATGCTGTAAATGTTTATTCAGAATAATAGTTGTGGTCTACATATTACACTGTATTAAGTTTTCAAATACTGATTGAATCATTTACAGCTTACCCACTGACCACTCTTCAATAATCCCTCTAATTTGTGATTTATTCGCTATCTGTTCAATGGTATTTTTGAATACTTTAATCTGACTGACTGTTAACGAGGTATGTTTAGTGAATAGAACACCTTCTTTACTCAGCTTTAACATAGTCTGTGAAAAGTGCGTATATGCTCTACTGGTTGGGATATATGCTTGTTTTTACGAGTTTGACCACAGATTCATATCAGCTAGAGAACAAATGAAAACAGGCAGAAAGTACTGGACAGCTGTTTCATCCTAGTTTGGGAATCATCGGCAGTGCGTACCATTATTCCCAAACTAGGATGAAACAGCTGTCCAGTACTTTCTGCCTGTTTTCATTTGTTCTCTAGCTGATATGAATCTGTGGTCAAACTCGTAAAAACAAGCATATATCCCAACCAGTAGAGCATATACGCACTTTTCACAGACTATGTTAAAGCTGAGTAAAGAAGGTGTTCTATTCACTAAACATACCTCGTTAACAGTCAGTCAGATTAAAGTATTCAAAAATACCATTGAACAGATAGCGAATAAATCACAAATTAGAGGAATTTTTGAAGAGTGGTCAGTGGGTAAGTTGCAAATGATTCAATCAGTATTTCAATGGTTCTTCAACCGATATCAGTTCGTGATCAGCTCGTAAAGACAACCAATCCTTACAAACCAACTATAGAAAATTAATATCCAAACAACAAATTCGGTCCAAGAAATTAATTCATCATTACAGGTATGTTTTCAAGAATTGGTTTTTTAGGGATTGTGTTTGATTGTTTAGGGGGTTTCATCATTAGCTAACATCAGCTGGAGAGCCATGGGAATATCTGGGAGTGTTGGAGAGCTGTTTCGTCCTAGATTAGGACTCTTCATCATTACGCAACCAAGGGGGTTCGAGCCCAGGATCTCCTGGTCATGAGGCGAGCTCGCAGACCATCAAGCCACTGGGAACCGATCCTAAACTAGGATGAAACCGCTGTCCAGTATTCCCTGCAGGTTTTCCAATGGTTCTCTAACTGATGTCAGCTCATGGTGAAACCCTCCAACCAATATTACAGATATACTTCTACAACACTTCACCTAAAGAGTGAACAACTATTGACTGCATCTCTTTACAAACTGATAATAATCAATGGCGAGTGAATAAAGGATATTCTTCTCGATAGCCTCTTCTTCATCAGGTCTTACAGTTATATGAGGGTAATAATTAAAGAAATATTCTTATTAACAACGTCAATATCGTTCTAAACTACATTAAATCAGTAGTATCGATAGGTGATTTCAGTTCAAAAGCGTCAGTAAGTACATCAAAAGAACACTCAACTAAATACCTGGTGATTTAAGAGAATTAAAACACAACTCATGAATTCATAGGTTCCATAGCTTTGTTTCTCCTCTATATGTGAGAAATCCACTTGAGACTGTGGGCTACATAATCTGACCTATTTGTTCAGAAGATGCAATTAAAGACTAAATTAAGATTATGTAGGTATTGTTTGACACATTAGCGCAAGACAGATAACTTCAAAAGTTCATCAATAAACACAAGGTCAAAATATTAGAAAAGAATTCGGTATCTGTAAAGAAGCCTTGAGGTGTTATCATAGCCGTGGACTTTAACTGTATATCCAAGTAACTGTTTAATTAATACAACTCATTACTGTATAATATACTGTTACACTATCATCTCGTCAACTTGGATTTTTACTCACATACTTGTTATGTTATTGAGCTCGCTAGACAGTCCCTTACATTGGAATATAATTATAACTTATTTGATCTATTCCACAATGCACAAACGTTTTACCGACATTAAAGTTTCGCGATATTTGGGGGCATAAATTGTAAGATTCCTCAAGTCGTCGGTAATTATTAATATGCAAAATATTCAGGATGACAGTAAGTTAAAATTATTGATTTGATTTCTGATATATGAACAATGGATTCATTAAGTGTTGATGTAAATAACTGATGGTGAAGAGAAACAAAACACTTACAACTGATGAAAACTACATAACCAATTAAAGGTAAAACGTCAAGTCACCAAGGAAGAGAGAGAAAGACTCACTAAAGCTTCTTTTTGGGTACATACATTAGGCAGACTTCAGGAGTCTTGAACACGTTTGTTCTTTCAGTAACTTAAAAGAACGAAAGGCATCTATCTGCCTACCTGATGTCCTGTTTAAATCAGATGGAGTGTCACCACACTATTTCAAGTTGTCCTGCATCATACTAGTAGAATTTTCGGTGTCTGTTGAAAAAATCTAAGATAGACACTTATTTCTCTAGAAACCAAGTTGGAAATTAAATACCTAGGCGTCATTCTATCTGCTGATCTTTCCTGGTCGTCTCATATCTTGACGATTTCTAAGAAAATATTCCGTCTTACCTTCTACATCAAGAAGTTAAGACGAATGTCTGGTATAACCCAACCCTTACTCCTACAATTCGTTAACTCCCGCATTCTGCCTATTATTCTCTATTGTTCCCCCTTAGTTTTTCCCGGGCTACTGAAGAAAGACTATAACATATTATGCAGGATGTTAAAGGTTGTCAGCAGGGTAAGCAACGTGCCACTTAAACAAGCTTGTTAATATTCTGGTCGACAGGCACATGGACTCATGTGAAAAGTGGGCCAAATCCATTTTATCTAACTCACATCACCCTCTTCACTCACAACTCTCCCCTTGCATCTCATCAGGCAAAATCAGAAGCCTATATAGGAAACTATATGCTCCCACAAGCAAGTACAAAAACTCAACCATACCCTACTTAGCTCGTGTTCTGTGCGATAAAGAAAGCATTAGGCGTGATACCTATAACTCATTAAATAGTCAGTAGAAAAACTGGATCTCGTCTTTCCAACCCATATCATTTATAGGTACAACATTTTCTTTCTTTCTTTCTCTTCCTTTTCTCTCTCTCTCTCTTTTCCGTTATGTTCTGCTTTGTTTCTTTCTCTCGCTTACGCCAGTAAATATGACAGCACCTACTTTTCTTACAGCTTCAAACACTGTTCAACTTTGGCTTTGCTACCGACATGCCAATATGTTGTTGGAATAATGAACTGAGGTTTCTTTATTCTATGTAGAATTCTATTTATTGATAATGTACTAACTGAATGCAATACTGTAGTAAAAATGCTGAGAATTCCATTATGTATCACAAGTACTGTTTTGGAATAAAGCAAATTATTATTTCAGAGTCTGCGACTTGGTATATACAAGTGGCTTCATGTACACGACTGGTGGTAACAGTATAAAGTGTGTCTATTGCCTTGAGATTGAACTAACGAACACATTTTCTGGTACACAAGCCTATTACATCAGCTGTGGAAAGTTTCGCTTCACTAACTTACATTGCTTGCAATAAATCAAATTAGGGGAAGGAGCTATGTTAAGACCGACCAACAATTTCAAAAGTTTTTAAGACGCATTGATGATAATCCAAGTTTAGGGGAGATGGTGCTCACAAGAGAAGTCCAGCTAACCTACACTTTGACGACTAACTCCAAATGATTAAGTCAAAGGAACTGCACCAAATTATCTCCTTTGACCGATTAATCGCACACTTTCCAAAAGGCATACATACTATGAAGAATTTTCATCTTCCACGTTGTTCCAACAAACATTATAACGAAATTTATATCTGCAGGTTTCCATAACTATCGAATAAGTGAAAAAAGTTGTACAAAAGACTCTGCTATTATCATAACTTAATCTATCAGTAACTGTATTATAAGAACTTAAGACTGAATTATTTCTGTTCTACGTGTTCTATGATTACGAGCACCACTCAGCTACAAAAAAATTCACAATGTACTAATTAATTAAAATGACATTCCAGACTGACACAGTTTTTATTCACCTTAAGCCAGTCAGCAAATAGTGGATGATATGACCTACACACCCAGTCAGATGTTCAGGTATATTTCCAGCCTGTATATAAGGAAGAAACATATTACAGTAATTGAATTTTAATCATACCATCTCCGTTTATCATCGAAGAATGAATTCGTCAGTAGTCACTGCCATTCTTTTCTTCACTATTGCCATCGTTTGGATTCACGGACAAGAATGTAGGTCTGAATTGTGTATTGAACATAATGTAACTGTTTTTATTTTTTATAACTGACTGTCGATATTCCGACTATGCATTCATACGATTGAACATAACGCTTCATAAAATAGGTGTATCTCTGCAATCGCATTATTGTATACTATAGGTTATGTGTATATGAAATTCAGAGTTATTGAATACCAGATATGATGTAGTCAGCGATTTGTTAGTAAATCGGAGTATGCAGGCTGCACACAACACATTAGTGGATCTTATTGATTGATTGAGAGTGAAATAAGTGCCACTTTCTCTTGGATGTTGGATATGAGTCCGTTGCGAGTAAATTTAGATGAACGCGATCAAGGTAGTTTTATCCTATTGTGAATTCTCATCTTACAAGCAGTTTGATAGAATATTTCTCTCCTAAACGTTAACACTTCTGCTCTCTTCTGAAGTTATTTTCACAAGTGATAATCGACCCCAATAATGTGCATCTTTGAAAGCCTACTGCTTGAACATTCAAGTGTTGGACGGTAGAAGTGTGATCCATTTCAAAGCAGATCCCATCACGAACTGACATCTTTGAGATAATCATTGAAAATCAGGGATTTAATGAGTAGCTATTTCCTCTTCGACTGATGCTCTTCAGCGCTGTGCACCTATGAAGTCACATTGTATGCAACTCACGATTTTCAAATTACAAGACAGTCACCTTAGCATTCAGCTACTGCGTTGCAATCTAATGACCTATGGATTCCAAGATTTATCGATTCAATACATATATATATATATGTCGATTCCTAATCATATCAATTGCATATATATATATATCATAGTAGATTGGTGCTTGCTTTATTGACTGCTATTTATAACACCAAGCAGATCACACATTTTGAATCTTCACTTTTTGAATGTTATTCAGTACTCTCACCAATCACTGTTGCTCAGACTTACACCGATGGAAACTGTGGAAGCCGTTATTTGCAAAGTGTGCACTCCAAGATAAAATTTCATGGTAGTGTCCTTAGAAGTTTAAAAATACCCAGATTACAGTATTTTTGTCCCACTTGAGGTAGTAATCAGAGTTTATAGACCTAGAAGAAAGGAACTTATTGCGTACTACTTATTAGTCTGAGTATTTGGAGCCTAGTTATGTGAAGTAGTTATAACCATTTAGTCTCTCTGAATCAGACAATGCATTTTGAAATATTAAAGTCGTTGATATTTGTGTAGTGGATGACAATTTAAGAGTGAAGTGAAAACTTATATATGAACAGGTCTCAAACCAACATTATTCAGACTAATACTTCGAAATTCTAGTAGTCAAGCTATGTAACTTAATTGGTTTAGTAATCCGAAGGCCAATAGTTCGAAACCTGAATCTAGTCAGATTTTAACCTTATTTTTTATTTGTTTTATTCCTATGAGTTCCCAGTGGAACAAAGGGCTTCAACCTAGGGCTTTGAAGTTTCCGTATCAGTGGTGTTTATTTTTCTAAAGAGTGGGACTGCTAGCCTAATACCCAACCTTTCTTCTTTGCCCGGTTTACTACTGGCAAAGAGAGGTAAAAGAGTGTGTCAGCCGCGGATCAAACTCCAAACCTCTTCCCTGGTTGGCCAGTGTCCTACCAGCAAACCACCGATGCGTTAATCTGGACTATTGCCATTCTCACAAACTGCAGACTGACAATCCAATGATATCTCAAATGGTCTTATCAATAACCCATGATGTTTTTTTTCATGATCCGACGGTGAAGTGTCCAATTAATTGACGATTCTAAATTACTGTTTTTGTATTATAGTCTATTTATATGACGGCTATGATGATGTACTAGTGCACTAGAAAGTGATGAAGCTAGAAGCAAATAGAATATACATTGAGCAAATCATTTAACTTACACCTATCCTACAACTTGCAGTAAATAATAATCAAAGAATTTTTAAAGTCCCTTTTCTTATTGAATTCTCGCCAGTGCTGTTACCTTCTCCATCTTCTTGACCTTTTACTCCTCTATTGGCTTTCCCACTGACATACAATTTATCACTGCCTCTTCCAAAACGTTACTCAATACTAATGCTACTCATACTGCCACTACTACTACTACTACTACTACTACTACTACTACTACTACTACTACTACTACTACTACTACTACTACTACTACTACTACTACTACTACTACTACTACTATTACTACTACTACTACTACTACTACTACTACTACTACTACTACTACTACTACTACTACTACTACTACTATTACTACTACTACTACTACTACTACTACTACTACTACTACTATTACTACTACTACTACTACTACTAATGCCAATATTACCACTCACGCTGCCACCACACCGACTACTACTGTAATGCTACAACACAAGAGTATTTGACAACGGAATTACCTATGGGCGACTGGATGTGCAGATACAGATAAATATGCATGCCATATATTAAAAAACTACAATCCTCACACGCTTCCCATACTGTGCTTCTTTGTCTTCATTTCATGTTTTCACTTTTGATTCAAAAGCACCGTCCATTTCTTCTCTTCACCGTTGTTAAATCCATCTCTCCCCTATTCGATATTCTTTCAAGTGATATACATATTTACATGTATGCCTATATACTACTTGTAGATCTTGTCAGTAGCACACGCCACACTACTACTACTCCTGCTGCTGCTGCTTACACCTGTTTATAAATACCACGCACCATATTGTGCATACTCTAGGCATGCTTAATTAATTGATCAGTTTTTTTTTAACATGGTTTTTTGTACTACAGATTATGCATATCATGACCATGTTGATGCTGTACAGCAGACAAACAGAAATGATAGTGCTTCCCAAGAAAATTACCGTGATCTACAGTATGAAAGCTTAGAAATAAAAGATTATCAAATTGAAGAACCTTTAGATGATGATGATTATCAATACATTGCAAAAATGTTGAACAGTAGCGAGTCTGGTGGCATTACAAGTAGTTCTGAGGATTCCACCTCTGATACTGATAGCTCTGATGATGGTTTTACTGATGGTGATTTTACTGTTGATGATTTTACTGATGGTGGTTTTACTGATGGCGGTTTTACTGATGATGATTTCTAGCTTCATACTGAATCCTAGCACAGATAGTGTACACATGTGCCAGAGGGGTAAGTTGTTGCACACATGTGAATGACTGTAATTACTTATCCAACTTCTTATATGGTTTGTTTTCAATGCAAGTTTTATATCAACAGTAAAGTCTGACTAAACATGATGCTGCTCTCAGGTATCGTTTACAAACTCGATGATATTACATCCATGTAGTCGTGAGTAGACACTAGTAGGCACTAGAATGATTAACAGGAAATAATAACGCAAACAGTCTGTATCAAAACTATACTTGCTTTGAACTAGTGATTGATTTTCAGTGCATCGACTGGATACCTAATTACATTGAGTACAGTTAAACCACAATCGGTCATGCTAATTTCAATTAGTCTCCTCGTTTGTTTCCACCGATTTTCATATCAAAACGTCATACTACTTATAAGTATCAAGTAGTAGGATTATCTATATGTATTTATTAAAACACAAGCTTGGCACATTATGGCTACCAACAGATGAGCCACACAAAATCTCAAAGTTTGTCTTTGTTCTGAGATACTTCCTGGACGTCCAGATTCGGTCAGGTGGTTGTCTTAAGGGGCTATACACCGAGTTTGCTCCACAAGACAGCTGAGCATCGTCGGTAACTACGTGTTCATGGTTTCCAGTGAGCAAAACAGGTTCATACTCCATTCTGGTTATGGAGTCATTGAACACCACAGGTTTGGAATCAGAGATTTCCAGCTCTTCCAGGCAGACCAGGGCTATCCTTTTACTTTTGTGAGGAACACCCCTGCCGCATAAAAGTAGTGAATGGGACTTATCTGGTAAAGGCTATAAATGCACAACCCTATGAGGACATTTCGAGAGGAAGACCGAAGTTTACTCAGTTTCCGTCTTACTAGGTCATTTATGGAGATGCCATGTAGCTGTACACTTCGATCACTCACTGTCTATTTTATTACGTTAAAATTAAATTTTCTGGATATTAAGTCTTATCCTGTGAGTGAATTACACCTCTTCCATATACAAATTCGATGTACAGCTTAAAACTTCATATGGTTTTAATTCTACGATAGGATTTTGGACACACAGCTACAGACAGAGCCAGCTATCATAATGGCATACTCAATTATCAATTGTATTTTCTGCACTTCATCATAAAAATGATTTCGATCCCCTTTCACATAGAAAATCACAGAAATACTCACGCATGAGAAACCAGAGGAAATATCATATTAATTTACTATTAGACTGAATCTATCATTCCGATCACCACGTTATGATGAATGCTTGTGTAATATGTTACAGCCTGCCACTAATCATAGCCTACTTTGGGAGGTGAATCTAATTAATATTGGTGTTAAAAGCGTGACACTGTGGAGCGGTACAATTTCGCATTGCCTTCCTTACTTGGTATAGCATATAATGAGACAGCTTAATGTATTGCTTGCACGTTGCTGGTTCACTAATAGAATGCTCGTCAGGCATGCACCTGTTTCAGGCTCGACCTCTGATCGACATACTACTAAACCTCGCTTAGTTTGTAACAACAGAAGAAAAGGGCCAGGCAACAGATCGTTTATTAAGGAAAATCAACACATATTTATATATTTTAATGTACATTATTGTAGGTTAATGTTAGTAGGAAATACAGTCTTTTGATTGGTTGTTTCTCACAGAAAATTAACCTTGCATCTCTTTGTGGCTGTGTCCGACCATCCATATGCTAACTGTATCCGCCTACGCAAAGCCTTTGTTCTCATTTTCTCACGACCAATATTGGGGACATAAACATTGACGTCAATTACTGTCTGCCAACTTTGGCTAGCAGCCAGCTCTCACCACAAGTTTACTTGCCGATAGAAGGCCCGTAACGAAAAAAGAAGGCTGGACATGGAGCCATCAACCTCATTTATTAAAACCATCACAGTTGCTTGTTTCAATAGACAATTAGGGATCAAGCACACTGTAGCAAATAATAAATGAAAAGCAGAACACAGATGATAGTTGAAACGCTTTATCAATAATAGTACTCATGCTACGAGAGAGACACCAACGTCCACACAGACAAAATAGTTAGACTGTTATCGATCACATGCTAAACTTTTTTGAACAGGCGTCTCCTTCTCCACAATCCCGGCCACTACACTACTGAGACTTTAAAAGCCCGGGGCTCGACGTTCTCCTCAGAACACAAGGAGTAAACAACAATTTATTACATGTGATACGTCGTAATGTTACATTTTATCTTTGAAATACTGTGACCTGTGATAATGCAAGTGACACGATGCTGAAGGAAAATCTTTGGAAACTTACTGTCATCGTCGTTATCACTTTAACCTTTATCCCCATTAATCTTACAGTGTAAACTACTTTTGTCTTCACCTTTTCTTAGGTAAAATAGAGGGCATATCAAAACCTGTCAGGATTTGTTATTTGCTGATTACCCTTGAACGTAGTTAAATGCAACTTTACATATAATTATCTTTGAAATATACAACAATTCTATTAAATCCAATGATTTGCAGTGAATCTACTGCACTTATTATCATATACCTGTAGACTAGACGTTTCATTCCTTAATAATTTTTGATATAATATTAAAAGTACTGAAAAATAATGCACTTTTATATATTCAGATGTAGAGTTATTGTGTATCTGGTGTGAATACAAGACATATTTCGTCATAACTGAATATCAGTCAGAGAGCCATTGATACCCAAATGGTAAAAGATGGGTTACTAAGTTTTAAATCAGTAGAAATATGGTCGAGTCGTAGCCTGGCTTTCCTGTGGTCATTCTGCAAAAGCAGTGAGGGTAGAAACTGCAAGAGAATTGTTTACTTGAACGGGTTCTCTAACAGGCTCAACAGTTATAAACCTATATAAAAACGAGAGCGGAATTAATTTACCATCTACATATTACAAAGTTCCAAGGGAAAATCCATCATGAATTCCCGTGAAGACGCATAATATTGAGATAGTAATATGTAACCTGCTTGTAGTCACCAGTGACATCAAGAAAGAGGGTGAAATTACAAGAAAATTTGCACAACTTTCTGATAAAAGTAGTTCAGAGCCAGCGAATCAAAACTAAAATATTTTCTGGCCTGATCAAGACTATCTGGAAATCTAGTAGGTAACTTGCAGAATGGTAACACGGTAGCCATTGGAAGTCAGGCATTAAAGCATTTCAACGTCGAAACACAGCATCATGGGGAAATAAAGTGAACAATTACTATAATATTGATTTTTATTTCAAATCCATGTGAATACGACAATTAAGTTTGAAGGGCAATTATAAATGATAAATAAGGCAATGGTAGTAATAATGAGTGGGATTATCAAATTGAAAGTGTATGGAATGGACTTGAATCAACGAAAATAGTAGACACGATGGAAGCAGATAACACAGCGCCTCAATGTTATTTTTCTTTCCAGCGTTCCTAAATTATGCAACTACCCCATTGTAGGCCGATGCAAACAAATTGGATGCATGAATTTCTTCTAGATATGGAGATTTCTTCTTCCTACTGATTGATAACATTTCAGTTACTACCGATATCACTGAGAAGCATACTGCAACTTTTTGCAGTTCAGAATAGTCCAGTCCATGTAGATAATTGCCTCCTAGAATACCAACAGCATATACTATGGCCATCGACGTCGAGAAATATGAACATAAATATCATCCTATCTTGCCCACCATCGCCTTCTTAGCATTGAAATGTGGATTTGAACACATAAATGTCAGTATTACCTAGGTTCCTTAACTTCAGTTATATCTTTCACCAGTATAGACGTATTTAGAAAGCGTTCAAGAGCATTAGCATCTCTGCTAAATCTGGCAAAAGGTACTAATCATTACAGGACTCTTAATTATAAGGTGAAAAGCATTATTATGTGGAAGAGACGTGCCCGATTCCTAGGATAATGTACGACAACAAACAGGTGAACTATTGAAAATCGAGCGTCCAAGAACTCTAGCCTACCATCTAGTCATATTGTAATGGTAAAATTATTAGTCTATATCATTCTTCATCTAAAATAGGATGCTGGCCTTCATTGTTTAAGTAGAGTAGTTCATCTGGAGGTGGGTCTACAGGCATACAAGCAGCTCGGGATCCTGTGGTGTTACGTCCAGTTGTTCATGTAGACACAGCTAGTTAAGTGGCCAACACCATCATCCTTTGGAAGATATATTTGTTGCTTTCATTTATTTCTGGTTTCAGTACAATAAGTACCTTGGGAATCGGTGAATGAACACTTGTATTTACATACAGCAAATCTTGCGCAACCGTAGACATCCTTCAGCTTCTGATTTGGTGATCCCGAATGTCCCACTGTGCTGATGACATTAATGACGATAGTGAATATGTATGAGCTTTATGTATGAGATTAGATTATCAAATTCAGAGTTAATTTGCGCAAATGCTTAATTTTTATGTGAATGATACGTTTGTCCCATAACAGAAGTTCTGAGTAAACTTATTTAATGCCATAATCTCGACGATAGCACTAGACAAACATACTTACCTCGTCTCGTTTGAAACTACATTTTTCACTCGACATTATTTTATTTTAACCTATTTCCAATTCCCAATAAGAGGTATTTTGCAATAGAAACCAAGTCAAGATAGTCATAACTAAAAGATCACACCGTTAACTGATAAACCCACTACAGGTCCCATTATAGCTTTCCGTAATAAAGACTACACAACACTGGGAGCTTTAGACAAGCACAGTAAGACGTCACATATCGAGTGATTGACAAACTGCAGTACACTATAACCTGAGTATAGTTGTGTCAGATTATGCTACCAAACCGAAAATTGTTCATCAGTGTTCCTTGAGGATATGCATTGGGGGTAGTGGATGCAGTATGAGGTGCAGCTGATGCTAGTGGTCTTAAGAAGTTCAGACTCTTGCATGGACAGCAAGTCTTATGGCTTGAATAAATTTGCTGTTGGTTCTTGTGCTCAATCTCATTTCATTCGATATATCTATCACAGC